GCCTGGGCTGAGGCCTCCTCCACCTCCTCGGGTGGGGCAGAGGCCAAGGCCGCCTCCGGCTGGGACGGGGTGCCCTCCTGGCAGTTGCTGTCCATGGAGGCCGCATAGTCCAGCATCAGGGCAGCGTCACTGTCCTGAGATAGAGAGGTCTGTCCGGGGAGAGAGAGTCAGTGCGAGGGACGGTTAAAGGACACGCGGAAATTAGTCCAAACAGCCTGGCTAATTTCAAAGTGTCAGAGAGGCCCGACCCCCCGGAGGCAGCTCCTTTAGCACAGCGGCTGTGCCGGCCAGAGTGGCTCAGTTGGTGGCTGTCGTCTCCATGCACCGGAAGGTTGCTGGTTCGATTCCCAGTCAGGGCACATACTTGGGTTGTGGGTTTAATCCCCCGTCAGGGAGCACACACAAGGCAACCGACCGATGCCTCTCTTTCTCTTTCTCTCTCTCTCTCTCTCTCTCTCTCTCTCTTCCTCTCTCTAAGCATGTCCTAACTGAGAATTTTTAAAAATTAAATAAAAAAAGAACTGAATATTACAAAGATATATATTGGCAGCATATCGGGGGGCTGAAACTCAGTCACTGCAAAGGGGCACAGCCCGAGTTGGGAACTTGGAAGGGGTTGGGGGAGGTGACATCCCTGCCCCAGCAGATGGGCCGGCTGGGCGCCCGTGGGAACCCCGGGGGTGAGGTGGAAGAGAGAGCTTGTCCTTGTGAGTCTCGGAGAGGTCATAGGGTGACCCCGGAGCCCCAGATTCAGTCCGTCTTTGAATCGTTGTTTCTACAGCATTTTTAGGTTTCCTGAACGTAGAAACGAACTGCTATGCACCGTGTACCCTAAGAATTACACGTGTGTAAAGCCTGTGTAGGTGCTGGGAGGGAGGCCGGAACGTGTCTCTTTCGAGGGTGGGAAGTGACTATGGGGGGACATGGGGCTCCGTGGGGCTGGTCTGTGGTTCTGATCGGGGAGCAGGTGCACAGGCACATCTGCTCGGTGACAATGAACAACTGCACTTTCTGGTTCAAGTGCTGGCTTGCGGAAGTGCCCACTGACTCAAGGTCAGACAACGTGAGCAAATAATAACTGTGTCAAATGTTAAGATCCATGAGTTCCTAATAATCTAAAATAAAGCCTTAGAGGAGATGATCAAAGTCTCATCCTTATTTCATTCACATGTACCCCTAACTTCAAAAAAACAAAACAAAACAAAAACCACCCTGGGGTCAGGGAGCTTCCAGAGATGCCATCGCCGCCTGCTGGCTGTTGCTGGAAGTGCATGCAGGAAACCAGAGAGGCCTGACCTGCTCTTGGGTGATGCTGCTGAAGGCCTCCAGCCAGCTGTGCCTGCTGGGCCTTGGGCACCGGCCACCCAGGCCCTGAGTTTAATGATGACTCACCTCTGGCACCTCCCGTGGCCCATTCTGGCCTTTCTCCTGGTAGCTGAGAGTGCAGGGCCTCCTGTCCCACCCTCGGGTGCCCTCAAAGAATCACCTTGCCCTCCGGGTTCAACAATTCCTCCTCCTTGGTCCCTCCCACCATCGAATCTCCCAGCTCTCCCTCCTCCATTGCTCACATTCCCCTTGTCCATTCTGAAACGTTAGAAAAGCGTCAGGACCGCCACATGGCCCCTTGCCAGGGGGGCTGGCCTCTCCAGCAGCCTGGCCCGCCTGGCGCCCACCATCTGCTGGGACAAACGTCACAGGGCAGCAGAAAGAAGGGGATCGGAACATGTTTAAAAACAAGCTCCACGCCTCTGAGCGCAAAAGGCGCAACACTCATTGCGAAACGTTAACGTGGTTTGGAAATGTGTAACGTGGAAAGTGAGAGCTCCCCATCATCCAGCGGTGATAAGGGTGGAGGTGCCGTCCCCAGGGGGAGCCTGACCTCACGCCGGCCTTTCTCTTTCAATAACTTTTCTTCAAATGATTCACCAACCTCTCACCAGCCACAGCACCCCGGTCGGAAACGGCCAGGTTTTCTTCATCAACAGAGCGAGCTGCGAGAATGAAATGCCAAAACCGCCTCCGGGCAGGGTGAGGGGCCTAACCTGACATTTGTAAACATCGATCAGGAGCTCGGCCAGCTCCCGCGAGGGAGGGACAGCGGCCAGGACAACGCCAGCCCCACGGGCGCGCACCTTGGAGATCCCTGATATGATGATGGTGCTCCTCTTCCGCGGCGACTTCAGCTTCAGCTTCGAAGATTCGCTGAGCTGCCGGATGGCGACCTCGGCCACTGGATCCGAGCCATTCAACACCAGCAGTTCTGCGGGGGGAGGGCAGCGGTGACGCCTCTGTGGCCCCTCAGAGGCCCCTGACTCTGAGTGACACTCGCTGAAGGGTCCACGAGTGCATTTGTGTGTGAGCTGCTCCGCGATCGAGGTGATGGAAGACATGAGAGCAGGTGAACCAGCGGTTCTCAACCTGTGGGTCACGACCCCTTTGGCCGTCGAAGGACCCTTTCACAGGGGTCGCCTAAGACCATCCTGCATATCAGATATTTACATGACGATTCATAACAGTAGCAACATTACAGTTATGAAGTAGCAACGAAAATAATTTTATGGTTGGGTCACAACATGAGGAACTGTATTTAAAGGGCCAGAAGGTTGAGAACCACTGAAAAGACCTCTAACCTTTCGGGGACCTGGGCCTTTGAGGGGCAGTACGGTCACTCCCCGTCTCTGGCGAGACTGGTGACCACAGGCTGGTGTCAGGCGGAGGGGCCAGGGCATACAAGCAGCCCCTTCCCACGGGCAGTGCCACACACGGCAACATCTGGGGACACTCCACACGCACCAGGCGCCGTGCACGGGCTCTGTGCACGTTATTTCATTCAACTGTCCCCCAGGCCCTGAAGTGGGTACTTTCTAATTCCTCGATTGAGAAACGCGGAAATTGTCAGCAGCCAGGGCAGTGGCGGAGCGGGATGCCCAGCCCCTGTTCTGCTAAAAGAAGATTAAAATGACAAAATGTCACAGGAGCAGGATGTAAAACGCGTGGGAACTCTGGGCCCGAGGGCCGCCTGCAAAATCACTTGGTCTGGCCCTGCCAAGGCAGCAGGGCTGAGTTAATTACACGAATGTTGTTATAAATATCCAATGGCCCTTGGCAGAAAAAAGGTTCCCCGTTCCTGATGTAAAAGCAAGTTTTCTCATCTCACTTTCGGCCGTGGCCTGCAGGCGACAGGTGCTCCATTTCAAAGGGTGTGGTGACAGGACGAGTACAGCAGAACTGCCTGGCCATGCCCCATGGTGAGGGGACAGGAGGGACAGGAGGGCCAGGAGAAGGGGCTGGGGTGGGGCTTCAGGAGAGAGCGGTGCCGTGATTCCCAGTGACTCCAAGGGACAGGATGGGAGTGGGGCTGGGGGACCCGCAGGGCTGCGTCCCGGGAATCACGAAAACTCCCACAGGGACAGAGACCGTTTTCGACTCCCGCCGGCTAAGAGGGTACAGAACCTCCTAAGACAGCACCCGTCAAGGGAGACCCACCCCCACCCCCAAGCCCACCTGCTCCTCCTTGCCCCACCCCTGAGCTTGGCAAGATCAGAAACAGACTCAGGAATGGGGAGCGGAGCCCGAAGAAAGCTGCCCACTGCCCCTCCTCCGACCGCAGGCCCCACGAGCCAAGGGGGTAACGTTTAACTCCCACATTTAGGTGGTGCTGTGATTTAGAGACAGTCACACACCTCTTTAAGGTCATTATGAAAGTGACCCTAAAAATGGGAAACGGCAACCAGGCTTCTGGGGGAAGACGACTCCTACCCAACAGGATCGTGGGACAGTTGGAGACCAAACTGAAGTAGGCTTTACGGTTATGTCGCGAGTCCTACTTACTTCATGACAGTCACATAGCTCGTATGTTGAACAAGAGAAAAAAGAATGTTCAGGAATTTTATAAAGTGAGGCCGGAGCTGGGTTCTACGGTCATTTTGTTACAGCGTCTCCTTAACTACAGCAGGGTGCTCACCCTTCCTGGTCTTTGATGAACTTCCATTTCCGTCTTTTTCCCGTTCTTAACTTATTACTCAAAGGAACTTCCCCAAACTCCCCAAACGAATGCTCCCCTCATCAGGGGCAAGGCTGAGGGAGGAGCCCCGAGGGGCAGAGGGAGGAGCCCAGAGGGGTGAGGGAGGAGCCAGAGGGGCTGGCAGCCAGGGTTCTGGGGGAAGACGACTCCTACCCAGCAGGTTCGTGGGACAGCTGGAGGCCAAACTGAAGTTGGCTTTACGGTTATGTCGCGAGTCCTACTTACTTCGCGATAGTCACATAGCTCGTATGTTGAACAAGAGAAAAAAGAATGTTCAGGAATTTTATAAAGTGAGGCCGGAGCTGGGTTCTACGGTCATTTTGTTACAGCGTCTCCTTAACTACAGAAGGGTGCTAACCCTTCCTGGCCTTCGATCAACTTCGATTTCCTTCTTTTTCCAGTTCTTAACTTATTACTCAAAAGAACTTCCCCAAACTCCCCAAACGAATGCTCCCCTCATCAGGGGCAAGGCTGAGGGAGGAGCCCAGAGGGGTGAGGGAGGAGCCCAGAGGGGTGAGGAAGGAGCCCAGAGGGGCAGAGGGAGGAGCCAGAAGGGCAGAGGGAGGAGCCCAGAGGGGTGAGGGAGGAGCCAGAGGGGCAGAGGGAGGAGCCCAGAGGGGCAGAGGGAGGAGCCCAGAGGCGTGAGGGAGGCCGCAGGGCGTTACCTGTGTCTGAAGAAGACAAGGTTTTGCTGACGGGAGGGCTGTGGCAGGAGATGGCTTGGACGGAGATGTCCTTCTCGATCACCCTCACCTTGACGGGCGTCCGCAGCGGAGACTCTGCAGGGACAAACGCTGGTGACCACACGTCACCTGCACCCATTACCGGGACGTGAGATCACACCTCCCGTCAACTCGATCTCATGTCGTTGGCGAAGGCATGGCCAAACCTCAAGATTGCTTGACGATCTCTTATTCTTTTCTCTTTTTTGGGGGGTGGGGTTACCAAAAAGGGGTGCTGGAAGCTCAGGTTTAAATACAATTTCAGAAATACTTTCACTGAGGGAGAGTTTCATGTTCTGTTTTGCATTCGAGAACAGAATGCAAAGCAGTCTGCGCTGGGAAGATACTACCTCAGTATAACAGAAACACCGTATAAATTAAAATAAATAATAATCATACAAGTGTCTCCCAGGCCGTGGCTGTGGGGACGGAGGAATTCCGCTGCATCTGAAACGACCGCCCATCAAGCCTTCTAACCCACAACCCTAACATAAGAAACTCCACACTGACCACGTGCACCCAGTGTTTCAGAGAGCGTGGTGCCCCCGTGACCGTAACGGAGTGATTAAGTTAACTGGCTCTTTCATCCAGTGTCTCAATTTTAGCTTCGGAATAGACTACAAGGTTGTCATTCATTTGACAAAGTAGGAAGATAATTTTCTAGAAAAGAAAAGAAAAGAAAAAGCTACACAGAAGTCTTGCCCATCACCACGATCCCTGTGCCACGGATTTTCTTAATAACCACACGGGGCCGGGCACTCTGCCTTCCTGGGACTCAGAGAGACCGTTTCACCCTCTCACCCGAGCTCAGCGGGGACGCCCTCCCGGCGTCGAAGCGAGGCTTGGTTTTCACGGCGGTGACGGTGGTGACCACAGTCCCGCAGGGCATCACCGTGCGGTCTTTCTCTATCTTGGCCGCAGGAACGGGCGGAGGGGTGTGCCAGGATTTTGCCTCTGCGGGTTCCACGTAACAGAACTGCGGAGAAGGCCGCTCGTGGGTCGTGGGGTCAGTGCCAGGACCACCCGCACGGCCCGCTGACCTCCTCTGCACCCTGATCGCTCAGTTAGTGTCAGAATGATGATGTTAGTATTAGAATGAACGCAGGTCCCCCGGGGACTGACAGGCCGGTGAGTCCCATGCTCCCACCCAGCCATGCAGCACACAGGATGGGGACACAGGCTGGAGGGACAAAAATACCGACAGCCCTTTCCAGGTCAGGCCCTCGTGAAACGGCCTCGGTAGGTATTTCACAGAGTGGACCACTCGGCCAGGTCAGGGGCAAGAAGGCTCCCGGTCAAGCCCAGAGACTTCTCGGATGAGCTTCGTTTCAGGGTCAAGCCAGGGCCAGACTCTGACGGATAAAAACGAAGATGCTCCTCATCCGAAGTGGGAACCTGGCCACGTACCTCCGCGGTGACTGAACCCAGGGCCGCGCTGTCCCCCGAGGGCCCGCGGGTCAGCATAAAGCTCTGTGGCCCGGAAGGCTGCTTCTTAAACAGATCTAAAGGGATGGTCGTCGTCGCCAGCAGAGCTAGAAAGACAGGACACGGCAATGAGCGAGCGCTGCGGATGTTTCCAGAACAGCAACACGGCCGGGGTGAGCTGCCACAACCAGGCCGGCTCCCGATCACCACCCTGCTCACTTGAAAACATCTGACAAATGTCAGGGTTCAAAAAGGACAGAGGAGGCTAAGGGATGTGACGCTTCCGGGCAGCGTCTGCACCTGCGCTGTGGTGGGAAGCAGCTGATAGGAAGACGAGCTGTGGGTCAACTTGTTAGAATGAGAACCTGGCGGTGGATTCAAGAACTGTTCACCGTCCATTCAGGAAACTGGTAACTGTCCCAGGGACGTGTGAGAACAGCCCTATTTGTTAACACACCCTAAGGAATTGAGGGGTGAAGGGACCATGATGCATGGAATTGCCCTCAGATGGTCCCCACATTTACCCTCGCGTGTGTGTGCGTGTGTTAGAGAGAGAGCACGCGCACAAGCAAGAGTGACCAAGTGTGAGCACAAATACTAAAGGAAATGGGGCAAATGTGGACATATGTGAATCTGAGTCAGGGGTCCTCAAACTACGGCCCACAGGCCACATGCAAATACAAATATTGTATTTGTTCCTGTTTTTTTTTACTTCAAAATAAGATATGTGCAGTGTGCATAGGAATTTGTTCATAGTTTTTTTTTAAACTATAGTCTGACTAAGTGTGAGCACAAATATTAAAGGAAATGGGGCAAATGTGGAGGACCCCTGGTCTGAGTCAAGGCTCTATGGTTGTTCTTTGTTGTGTTTTTGTGTGTGTTTGTTTTGAGCTTGAAATTTCAGTCCCCCATCCGGCTGCACTGGGATGGGATTCCAATGGAGCCAAGAGGAGCGGGGCCCCCGGGATAAACAGTGGCCCCGAGTGGGCACCCCCGGCTCTGGAAAGGTCAGCTCTGACCTCGGGGCAGCCCCGTCATCTCAGGACTGCAGGGCAGGGCAGCCGCCCGAGTTCTTGCTCACGGCAGGACGGCTTTCCCTGGGTCTCGGGAATGTCAGCGGATAAGCCAAGGGCTTGGATGCTCAGCTGGTTAAGACAGGTAAGCCCCTCCCCTCTCCCGATTTTGGTATGTTTATGGTTTTTAAAAATCTAATCAATATTGAAGCTACTGAACTATAACAGGCCCACATTCACTTTGGTGATATGGGTGTGTTGTTGTTTTTTTACCTCTAATTGTTGCTTTCCTGCATCTAAAGCATGTGTTCAATTTGAGCTGCTACGGCTCATTCTCCAAGGAAAAGCCAGTGGAAATCCATAGAGACAGACAGGATGGCGATGCCAGGGGCTGGGGAGGGGGAGGGGAGTCGGTGTTCAATGGGGACTGAGTTTCAGTTTTGCAAGATGAAAGAGTTCTGAGATGGATGGTGGTGATGGTTGCACAACAGTGTGAATGCGCTTAATGCCGCTGAGCTGTGCACTAAAACATGATTAAGATGATAAATTCTGCAACATGTATTTCATCATAATTTACAAAAAAATTTTTAAGGTCTGTTGAGGCTAAGAGGGTTGAGAACTGCTTCTCTAAACCAAGAATTGTTAAATAAAAGACTTAGGATATTTGTTAAACAAACAAAACAAAAAAACACTAAAAAAACTATTTGAATATACTCTTTCCCAAAATGTACCTTATTAATAACTGAATGGACTTTCAACCAAACATTCCCTGGGGAGACCCAGATGGTATGGGGAGGGGCAGGCCTCCTCTGGGTCTCCCGCCCTCCCCAGCTTCCCACAGCCCTGGTCAGGGCACTGGATGACCCTTCCAGAGGGCAGGGCCTCCGTCCACCCCCTCACCACCCACCTTCTGAGGATTGCCCATCCTCCGAAATCTGCAGGTGCAACTCCTTCGACTTGGCGTTCAACTCACTGTACAGAGAAAAAAAGCTGTGAGTCCTTATTGTTTGAAATAGTACTTTTTTCTGACAATAGGAAGGACTAGCCATCATCAATATTTTAAAAACGGCAAGACACATAACCAAAAATATAAAGATTATCTGCAACCTCACTATCCAGAAATGGTTGCTCTTCATACTTGGTGCCTAGCCTCCTAGAATCATCCAGCATTCTGATGATGATGGACATACCATTTCATACAGGTGCTTGCAAAGACGGTGGCCACATACGGCTTTTGAAAACTTGAAATGTGGCCAGTGCACACTGAGGAACTGGATTTAATTTTAATTACTTGAAATTTAAAGAGCCCCATGTGGCCATGAGTGACCATACCCAAAGGGTAGCGATATAATTGTCTAAACACAAAATATAGAACATAATATACCTCACTGCTTCTTTGTAACCTGTTTTTTTTTTTTCCACTGAGGATACCATAGACACCTTTCCACGTCAATAACTACAGAGCAACAACATTTTTAATGGGTGTCTGTTCCACTGTTTGGCCTTATGAGATTTTACTTAGCTAATTCCTTAATAACCAACACTTAGTAATGAGTTGGTTGCTTTAATATCTCATAATTATAACCCGGTTGGCCAATCACCTTCAGACATGCATCTCAGCACGACTGCGTCCTTAGAAAAACTGTAACTACCAGCCAAGAGGTACGTGCATTGAAGAGCTTTTCTTTAATTTTTACAAACTGCTGACCTCCAGAATGGTGATTCCAATTTACACTCCACTGGCCACCCTCGCTCTCTTAGTACTTAGCCACCTGTCAGGTGGGAAACAATCTCTTTTGCATCACTCTCACTATGGCTGAGGTTGAACATCTTTTCAGACGTTTCCATCTATCTATAGTTCTCGCTTTTGTTTTTCTAGTTTGAAAACTTTTCCAAAAGGGAGTCATCTTTTCTTAAGGGTTTGTAAGAGCTCTTTATATGAGACATGGACTATGTTCTTCTATTACTCTTTGTAACTTGTCTATTAAGCATCAGGAAGTGATCGATTTCTATATTTTTGTAGTCAGCCACTTTCCTGAAATATTAATTTTACATTATTATTTCTATCTTATGTCCATTATTATTTCTGGTGGTCTTAACTGCTTTTCCTGAGCAGTCATATCATGCAATGATATCATCTCCTGGGAATGATTAGTTCTGCCTCTTTCTTGTCCGTACTTGTATATCGTTCCCTTATCGTATCTAATTGCGCTAACCAGTGCTTCTAGCACAAACAGTGGGCTCTTTCCCTTGACGTTACTGCCCTGCTTCTGGTTTTTATCACTTTCAGTGATTTTCTCTAAAAAATCTTCTTGAAGAAGTGCCCATAAATCCTGTTCTAATGAAGATTTTTAGCATTAGGAATGGGTATTAAATGTCACTGGATATCGCTGGGGCATAAATAGATCTGCCTTCCAAAAGAAATTTATGTCTGACTTAAAGCTACCTCAGATGCTTAATATGCTTTTTAAAAATGAGAAATAATTTTTGTGTGCTATGAAATGATCTCAGGGGTTGGCAGTCTCGAGTGGGTGTCACCATGGAAACCCAGGCCCGCGGGAACCGCTGCACGCACAAGGTGAATTCTTCCTCCCAGGCGAGGTCAGTAGTGTTTTTCGGGAGGACGCTGGAGAGCTTCTGAACGGGGTCGTTCAGCTGAACTTGGCAGCGGAGGTTGGCGGGGCCTGTAATCACACAAAGGCAGGGGCCGCCTTTTACTTTTGCTTCTTAATGGCTTTGAGACACTTCTGCATTCAGAGAAAGGCTAAGTAAAATGCCTAAAGTCTTGGCTCACCCACTTTCTTTCATTTGTCATTTATAAACTTTCAAAGCACCCCACTTCATTTGGGGTTAAAGATTTTATACACCCACTGCATATGCAGAGCCCCGGACTGACCCCAAGTGCCTGCTCACCCCTCAGTTCTGGCTGCAGGCACAGCCTCACGGTAGGGGACCCTCCTGGGGGCGACCTGAATACAACAGAGAGGTGGTCCCCACTTCTGGACAAGACTCACCACTTGGCTAAATCTGGGGACAACTTACCATGGGTGTGGTGTTTATACCTGACTCAGCTCCCTTTAAACCAGTGGTTCTCAACCTTGGCTGCACATTAGAATCACCTGGGAATCTTTTTAAAATCCTGATTTCTGGGCCTCATCCTCCGGAAATTCTGTTTCTTTGTTACTAATGTTGTGGCCCCACCCCATAACAAAGAAACAGAATTTCCGGAGGATGAGGCCCAGAAATCAGGATTTTAAAAAGACTCCCAGGTGATTCTAATGTGCAGCCAAGGTTGAGAACCACTGATCTAGTGGGCCCAGGAAGTCCCCTCTTAGTCGCTAAGCCTGGGGCCCCAGAGGGCAGCATGGGGGTGCTTTTACCAAAGCCATCACTACAACCAGCTGTGCAGAGTCCTGGCTGTGAAATGTGGCCCGTCTGCACTTGGAACTGAGAGAAACTCCTCGCAGACAAAGAGAAGTAACCCCAACATCCGCCGACCATAGAAAGAAGTTACTCCTATTCTCAGCAAAACTGAATCGCAGGGGAGAGCCGTGTCCTGTCCCGGCTACTACGCACTTGGGGTCTCAGCAGCGATTCAGAACCACCTGGAAGTCATTCCTTCCGGGGTGACTCTTGTCTCCACCCAGACAGCAGCCTCTCTGCACGGAAGGTCCCCGCTGAGCCAAAGCCCTTCTGAGGCGCATAAACTGCCCCTGTGGCCCCTCCCCCCGAGGAAAGCAGATTGGTCAGGGATGCTAGGCATGCATTTTCAGCTTCAATAGTGGGAGGCCGAAGGTCCCCGCTGGGCCAAAGCCCTTCTGAGGCGCATAAACCGCCCCTGTGGCCCCTCCCCCCAGGAAAGCAGACTGGTCAGGGGTGCTTGGCATGCATTTTCAGCTTCAATAGTGGGGGGAAAAGAAAAGCAAATGTGCCTTCCAGACTCAAGGGAAAGGGCAAAGCTACAGTTGTGTTCCTTCCTTCTTCACGTATGGAAAACCCAGGTTGTATTCGCATTATTATTACGGCTTCCAGGGGATCTTCTTCGCTCACAGCAGGATCACACTGCAGACCCACCTGGCAGGAGCCACCGAGAACCCCCAGGTCACCCCTCCGCTCGGCTCGTGCTGTGGGCCGGTGGCTTCTGCAGAGGCCAGGCACCTGCCGACACCCCGAGCCCTGCACCACGTCACCCACCTGAAGCACCAGGATGGTTTAGCAGCGAGGCCCGGATGTTCTTCACCAGTAACTTGAGGTCATGGGCCCTTGGAGGTTTGGGAGGGCAGGGCTCCTGTGGGGCAGGCGAGGTGCGCTGGAGATTCTGCAGGAAGAGAAGGAGCGGTGACCGTGGGAGGCAGGGGACAGAGGCGGTAGCGGAGCCTGAACCGGGGTCTGCGCTGTGGCCGTTTCCCCTCTGATGGGAAGGTCGGGTACCAGCGGCCAGAACCATTTCCCTGCTGGGGAGCCTTCTGAATCCCAGCAGCAGCAGCAATGCATTCAGCCAGGGAGGGCTCCCCAGAACCGTACTGTGGGCGGAGACTGGACCACCATGCGGGTCCATGCCTGACCCAGGCCAGGTGCCTGAGAGACAGTGGACGCCTTCTCCAAGCTGCAGGTCACCGGGCTGCCCCCAGCCTGGGCTAGGCAGTGGGTCTGTCCAGTGCTAACTGGTTTTCCCAGGAACCTCAATTCTCGAAGGATGCCGTCCAAGACCTCAGGCTCTGAGTGGACAGTAAAAAGTCAAGCTTGGGCTCCTAGAAGGCGGAGGGTCAAGCCTAGTTAGGGTGGGACTATGCTGAGTGGCCCTCTTCCTTCCATCCCACCTGGAGCTTTGGAACCCCGTGCCCTGAACTGGAAGCTTCCCCAGAGCGTGGTCATTACTGGCCAGCAAGCACTGGCGCAATCGGGCTCTACCTCGCGGGGTGGAGGAACATCGGAAACACACACAGGTGCTCCGGACAGCGGACCATGATCCTACGGGGCCTCGAGGCCCCCACACCGTGAGCAGGCTCACCTGGACTTCCCGCACGTCCACGGGCTTGATGCTCAGAACCACCGACGGGGAGGCGGAGCTAACCAGGTACTTCAAAATGTCCTTGAGAGTTTCACATATTGCCTTCACCTCCACGGCCCGGTCCTGCCGAAAGAGGAGGGAGTCACCCAATCATTTCATAACCATGCACGCGTGCGAAAGGACAGGTGAACGAACCTGGTGTCGCCGGGATCCAGGAGGTCAGATTAGGACCCATGAGAGACCTGGGGGAGAGGGTCCTTTTTACTGATCTCAGAAGTAATTCACCATTTTATTTTATTTATTTTATTTAAATCCTCACCTGAGGATATTTTTCCCACTGATTTCCAGAGAGAGTGGAATGAAGGGAAGATGGGGAGAGAGAAAGAAACATCAACAAGAGAGAGACACATAGATTGTCTCCCACACGCTCCCCTGCCAGGGCTGCATTCAGCAACCAAGGCACATGTCCTTGACCAGGAATCAAACCCATGACCCTCAGTCCACGGGCGAATGCTCCAATCCCTGAGCCAAACTGGTAAAATGGTTTTTTAAAAAAAGCCATTGTGCACCATAGAAATGTTAACATTCCTGTGTATATCCTGTCAGTCATTTTCCCCAAACATACAGGCATGCGGTTTTCCTTTCCTGCACAACATTGGATATATTTTTGAAATTAAAAAGTATTCAAGTAAACGGAAAGGCCTGAGAAGAACGCAGACAAGCTTT